ATGTTGCCCTCAAAGTGCACCAGATTGATGCATGCCCCGGACCCCCTAGAGGATGTGAGGTCATCACAATAAAACAGGTTCACATGGACAGGATACAATAAGTGTACACACTCATTATATACACTACACACTTTTCTTGGATTTGTTGACACTATAGTCCCTAATATATATTTTTAGAAAGGCAGGAAATGGAATTCAATTGAGAACATGTTTCATAGCGGAGGACCCCCTGTTTTGTGTCCCCCCCACTTCTCAAACCAAAGTTACACCCTTGATGTAATGTAATGTATATAGTGTGTATTAATGTATTCAACATGTAATTAGTTTGTGTAAAGTGTGTATCAATGTGAATTATTTTCACTCACTCCACGATCTTGCTCCAGGCCGGAGGATTGCTCAGCGTCATGAAGGCGCAGTTGGCCAGGATGGTCACCATGATGAACAAACTGAACAGAGTGTTTGTTTTAAGGAATGAAAACATCATCAGCTTTTCTTGGTTCATTAAGAACCTGCAGAGCAAAGCTGGCCAATCAGGGAGCAAGACAGTGTGATATCACAAAGGATATGAGTGGATGAGGATCCTGATGGCGGCGATCCTCAGTCGACTGCATGGACTCAGCAGATAACATGCCGGCTCAGCGTTAAACCGGAAGATGGTGTTACCCTTACCCAGCACGATGAACGTCTGCAAACAGACGGACAGACAGACAGACAGACAGACAGACAGACAGAGAGAGAGACATCAGACAGACAGACAGACAGACAGACAGACAGAGAGAGAGACAGACAGACAGAGAGACAGACAGACAGACAAACCGACAGATAGACAGACAGACAGAGAGACAGACAGACAGACAAACCGACAGATAGACAGAGAGACAGACAGACAGACACACATAATCAGAATCTCCTGATTGTGAATGCAGCTTTAACATTCAGCGATTTATTGATTTGATGAGTCCTCAAAGTATCTTCATCAAAGACTTATAAACCTGTTCTGATTGGTAGAAGGGATCCAGCTCCTCCAATGGTGTGTTGAGGAACTCAGGGGGCGGGTCCCCATAGATGAAAGGGAGGGGCTTCCCAGCCTCCAGGTCACTGGCTGGTTTAGGAAGATCCTCCTCTGCTACCTGTCAATCAGAGAGATTAAGCACCTCGTCATCATCATCATTCACTCCTCTCTTTTAGAAATTAAATCTGTCACCACACAGATATTTCTCTCAAGCCCAAGGGAGAATACATAAAAACATTTACCAAAATAACCCCGGCCATATTTACCAAAAGCTGCACTCAATGCGAGGTTTAAAAAAACTAAAAACAGATTGAAATCGTAAATATATATAACTTTATTATAATGAATCTGTATATAAAGCTCCCTGCACCTCTATGTTCTTCTCCTTCCTCCTTTGCTGTTCCTCCTCCTTGGCTTCATGTCGTCGTTGGATTTTCTCCAGCGAGTCGGGCTGGAAGCGTCTGAAGATCTCTGAACCGACAGGGGGCAGCAGCAGCGCCATCCTGCATCATGCAGCACCGGACTCCACCGCCTGCAACCGCCAGTAGCGGTCTGCAACCGTCTGTAACGGCCTGCAACCGTCTGCAACCGCCTGCCACCGTCTGCAACCGTCTGCCACCGTCTGCAACCGTCTGCAACCGTCACCCACCGTCTGCAACCGTCGCCCACCGTCTGCAACCGTCTGCAACCGTCACCCACCGTCTGCAACCGTCACCCACCGTCTGCAACCGTCAGTAACTGTCTGCAACCGTCAGTAACCGTCTGTAACTGTCTGCAAGCATCTGCAATCGCCTCCTGCAGAAGATACATTAACATGTTGCTGAAGCATGGAGACGCTACATGGTAAGAAAACCATCCACTGATGAATCTAACCTGGAGCTGTATGAAGAAACCATTTAAATGTACCCAAAATATCTTAGTTATCTGACAAGATGCTAGTTCTGCTGCTATAGACTGAAGACTCTCCTCTTATAGTGAGGCTGGTTCAGACTGACCTGGGACCAGCTGCTAGTTCTGCTGCTATAGACTGAAGACTCTCCTCTTACAGTGAGGGCTGGTTCAGACTGACCTGGGACCAGCTGCTAGTTCTGCTGCTATAGACTGAATACTCTCCTCTTACAGTGAGGGCTGGTTCAGACTGACCTGGGACCAGCTGCTAGTTCTGCTGCTATAGACTCACCTTTCTCCGAAGGAAACATCAAAGTTCACGATGCGGATGTCGTAGCTCTTGTTCTTCCCTGATAGGTCGATTCGGGTGTCTTTCTTATTGCTCGCCTGACTGGCCGACGCCTCCTCCAGGACTCTGAGAGACAAGACAGGAGGACAGGTGAGTACTGAGAGGACAG